GAAGTATGGCCGGATTGCGTTACCGTACCTACGGTACCGTAACTTTTTTAGTGCTTGTTTTTATTTGAAACTCCTGTCAGAATATACTTTCCGTTACGAAGAAAATTAAAAAAATAAATGCATATTACACTAAAAATACTGAGTATTTTTTTTTTTTCATGTGAAGTCTTTTTGTGACGTGACGCTTATCACTCTTCCCTGACATCTAAATTGGAGTTACCCTTATATTCAAAAGATGTACGGTGTATTGTTTGTTTTGTGCAAGTGATGTGGGAAAAAATGACCACGCCCATTTAGTGATTGCAATATGTACGTAATAGAAACCGCACCCCGAACTTGAGCTGTTGATCCCAATTTTTTATTTGATACATTGTAATATAAACCGCGGTTTATAATAGGATTTTAACGGTACTGTCCGATTATCAATTTGTATTTAATGGTGAATGTAGTCTGACGACGTGATCAATATTTATCAATTAAGTTTCAGTGGGGGGGTTGGGGAAAAAACTAATGAGGAATAAAGTTTTTTATCCTACATTGAACTTTTGATGTTGTCCCTTAATATAACCGAATGTTTTGGATAAAGTATCTTTTCTCGGTGATATAAATACAACACATAGAGATTACCAAATCTTACCAAAATATTCCTCTCTCCCTTTGTATGAACTATTTACTTATATTCATTGAGAAAAGATACTTGGTCCAAAATGTTTGGTTATATTAAATAATTACCAAGGACTCTGATTACCCACTGCATGTACCATTTTCTGTATATTATAGTGATACACCTAATTAATTTAAACAAGACTAATAAATGATTTGTGGTGTCAATTGTTTGGATGTGTTAAGTCGTCGTTCGAGCTAAACTAGAATAGAACTTGTTGTTTTAGACTTCTTAGCTGGAACACGTTTGATTGGTTTCCTCTTTCAGCGGCCATCACGAGGCATTGACTTGATGCTGATAGGCTGAAATATTGAGTGTTCTAAGAATGCTATATTTTGCAAATTGGTGTACTATGGCTGCCAGCTTGAGTATGGTATACATTGTTGCGAATTCTGGCAAGTTTAGTAATATTTAAACATTTCATGCGTCCAATAACATCAGAACACAAGGGTTCTTTCTAAGTTTGCTTTGTAATACAGCATGCCTCAAATTGACCAAAAACTTGGTTTTGAAATGTCAAAAATTTGACCTGTACAAACAGCTTAGTAGCACACAAATTTGTACCTGGACCCAAACTACTATAAAGTCTAGTGATCCTACATTATGCAGGTCTGTAACCTGGGCACCATATTCTAATGTGTTTTTCCTATGATTAACAAGTGGAGAATTTTGAAAGTATCCATTTTTGTGATAATATCAACAAAGTGTGTTGATGAAAAGAC